CCCCAAAACCCCAAACCCCAAAACCCCAAAACCCCAAAACCCCGAGTGTAGGTCTCGAGCTTGAAATGATATTTCAGCGAGTGATCTAATAATAAATTATTTATGAAGAGTTTCCTAGCTTTCTTCATATTGGATTCTTTCTCTGAGAGGACCTCCGAAGCGTTTGAACAATGAGAACCGGAGTCTGTTGTCTGACTGGCATGAGGCTGAGGACTTCTCTTCCTCAAATAAGTTATCTAGACTAATGTTCAGGCATAGGCTTACATGGGGATCGTATTCTTTGGAGCTTTCTTCTGTTCTAGAATAATTGTGTTAGGTTAATGTAGTGTGAGGTGATTTAAACATGATAGTAATGAGGCAGAGAGCATCAGAGTGAATATATTTAGAAATTTGTGGAGATTTTGATTGGGGTTCCAATTGTATCTAGTGAATAGTCCAGTTGCTATAACTTCCATGGCTTTTGATTTTTGTACTTAGGATTAAATCAATTATTCTTGCGTTTTAATGAGAGTTACTAAGTCTTTATTTATGCAAAGTGACACTTTTTGCCTTGACATTAAGATTATTAAATTTACTAAATACAAAACTTCTTGTATAAAACCAGTGTCTTTTAAGTATCTTTATATACACTCTCAAATTCTTATTATGTTCTTCTGTCATTTTCAGTTTGTGTGTTTCCTATGTTTTCAAAGCTGCACATTAAAGCACTATTGACATTACTAAGTTGAAGGTATAGCTTTCAAGGATTGGATTAGATAAACCAAGAACTCCATTGGTATTTAAAGGATTGGCATATATGAAAATGACACAATCCCTTCTAATTTTATTTTGACTCGATACAAAGAAAATGTAAAAATTATAAAATAGCAAAGTTTCATGAAATATTTTTTGGGTGTCAGCCGCTAGTTACACGCCATCGATTAGGATTAGGCATCTAGAGATGGAGAAATATATGCCAATAATTTTAGATGAACTCTAAAGTAAGATAACATATGAAGCTATTAGCCTGTCAATAATCATGCTAAGAATAATATTAGAACACTCAATAGTTAATTCAAAGTCCAACTCTGTCAAGTTCCTTTTCAAAGGAGAGTCCATTTGACAATTACCACTTACTGGTTTTGGGCTCTCTTCTACTTTTCTTGCTATGTAAAACTTTCCTGTTCTTTTCTATATGGATGTAACAAAGCATGCTTACTCCTTTTTCTTATTTTCCTAAATGCTGATTTCTTGCCGAAGACCCTCCTCTTCGGAGTCGTCTCTTTCAAAATTGTAGCAGCTGGGATCTGCTCTGTAATGGAAGATTGCTTTATCTCATTTTTGTCAACTCTTCTCCTGTAAATTATGCATCCCAACAAAGAAATGACCCATAAAAATTTAGGATTCTTCCACCCAAGAGAGAGCATCAGGAGGTATACCCAGCTCAGGATGAAATATACGTTGGAGAACACAATGACTAACCATGTGAAGGTTTTGAATCCTTCATAGGCTTCATTTCCTAGAGAGAATATAATTCCAGCATAGATAGTTATTGTCGCCGTAGTCAGACTCATCAGATCTATCCTGTTGTGCTCATATGACTTGTATGGCATGACATGTTTCTGCACGTAATAGAAGAAAAGCATCGAAACTATAAATAGCATGGATGACTTACCAACAGAAATAAGTACCTTGTAATTCACTGAGAATCTATCCATGAAAGAGTTGATTCACAAGATTGCTAGTTTTCTGAGTCCATTAATAAACTCCCAGTAGAATGTCTTTTCTTTGAGGCCTTGGTACAACATTAAAAAATAGCGCTGCATCTTTGACTCACCTAATTTACTTCTGTTCTGTATCAGAATTCGTAGAAGTACTCAAGGCACACCAATCACCCAGATTATCATGGTTGGAACAGAAACCAGACAGATCCATTTGATATGGTCGACAGAATATCATTGATACTCAAGATGGTACTTCATTCTCGAATCTCCGTCATCTACATCTATGCACAAGAACATTGCCAAAGATTTCACTGCGAGTGTCGGATGGAACAAAAAGATGATACAGATCATCGACACAACCATGGATCTTTTAAGATCAAATAGAGACTTGAACCGATGATTCCTGTTGGCTCATTGATGCTTTATAGCCCAGATGCTGTAATGAATGATCTTGATCAGACTAAATAGTACAAGAATAGCTGCAGCCATAATTATAGGAAAGAATATGTAGAGCACCATTTTAAATAATTCGTTCGAAGGAGCAAAGGCCTTGATTTCATAATCAGCAATAAAACAGTCGAACGATAGAAATGTTTCATCAGGTGAAGACACTTTGTTTGTAAAAGCAAACAGACCTGTAACATTAGTAGGCATCTTGATGTTGAATGTCAAAAATGCAGTTATCAATTGCATATAGTTTGTGATAATTCTGAGGAGAATGGAGACATCACTTTCCTTTTTCTTCCTCAAATTGATGTATATCAGCAGCATTAAAAACAAGAAAGCTAATACCACAAAAGCTATTAGTCTTATAGCATTGAGCACTGGTTTAGGACATTTACTTCATTGAAAACCTGACAATGGTTGGTATTTGATTCCTTTAACAATATCGCACTTGGTACAAAGTAATCCATGATACCCAGTATTTCATTTTGCTGGACCTTGTTCATTATCAGGATGGAAGCCTCCTAGGCATGCTTCATCGTTTGGACACTCAATTATAGATGATGAGTTCATGTTTATTCTCCAGTATCCTGCATGAACTTGAATTTCATCTTTTCCTTCACAAGTTGCAAAGTCCATTCAAGGTAGGCATTCAGTTGAATTCTCCTTAAGGGTGAAAGTTGTAGGCTTTCATTCTTGTCACTGACCATCAGAAGTCTGCAATTCTCCAGGTTTTCAATATCTATAGATAACTCTTTAAAAATACCTGAAAGATGCATCAATGATGTTGTCATATTCTCCTTCTGAATTGTTAAGAACTTCGTTGATGATCCTGGGATTGATACTTGCAGAAGTCAGTTTGTAAGTTATATTCTTCAGACCAACTTTGCCAAAGAAAATGAGGTTGTCAAGCTCTGCTTGTCCATGTTCAAATCTATCTAAAACAGTTCCTTTTGCTGCCATTCCAGCTTCATTAGTAAGTATTTTAAGCGTATATGCATTCTCAAGAACCATCACTTGGCCATCTTCATCAACAAGGTCAAAGTATAGGGTTTCCTCATGCTTGAGTCCGCTTCCAACATTATTGAGGTACATTTTGTTATTCTGGGTGCCTCTCTGAACAATTTTGATTGCATAGCTTGCAATGTCAGGCCCATAGTCTGCAGTATTGTGTATATTGGTGATGTTGCTCATGATTGGCCTAGCCAGGTTGTAATATATTCCTCCACCCATAATAGAGGCTGTGTTATTTTTAAAGATCAAGTTTGTAAATTTATTAGATCAAGTTTGTCCAAAGCCTCATTTCACTGAAATGCTAGCTCCAATCTTTGCTTTGTTGTGTGTGAATACAGACTGGTTGATTTTAGAACTACTATCAATAAGTCTGATGGCTCCTCCATTAGTTATGCTAGAATTCCCTCATCCTTCAAATCTAGAGTTGTGAATGATATCAATGGAAGATCTTGTTGCTACTAAACATTCTCTGCTCTCAGAAAATGTGACATTATTAATATAGCCTACTTTTGATCCTTCAATTTTGATGATTTGTGAGCTGATTTGAGTAAAGCTATTACTTGAAATATCAGCCACCCCAGATACCTTGATGGTAATCAAATTTCCTCCTGCAATTGAAATATTCCAGAAAGATGATTCTTTAATTGAGGTCTGAATTTCTTTCCCATCATTATTTAAATCAGCACTCAATGAGTGCTGCAAAGTGATCAAAGGCACGTTGCTTAAGCTGATTGAGCTTGAGTTGAGTTTCTATGCGTAACCTTTAAAGCATACCTTTAGACTAACTTGAGATAGACCCGATGATATAAGTTTTCATGTCGAGCGTGAATAAACTAGACTTTCAGCTTCAATATAAGCTTTAACGAGATAAAAGATTTCATAAGCCTGGCTTTCGCAATTGAGATTAGATAGAGTCATATTCTTGATTGTAAGGTCTGACTCACTGATTCTGAACAATCTCGACTCAATGCTCATGTTCTCAATGTTTGTAAAGCTCAATATAATTCTTGAGCTTATTGAGTAGAGTACATATTGCTGATCAATTAGCTTTGTTTGAGTTATTCTCAATTTGGCACTGACAATTTTGAAACAAGTCAATATGCTATCAGTCTCTAACAGAAATGGATTATCATTGAGATAATCTTTGAAAGACTGGAAAATATAGCCTAAATGAAATAAGTTGTGCATTAAACTTTAACTTACTTTGAGTCAAAATAACATTCGAGACTTGTTGTTGACTCACTCCAAAGTTTGTGGCTAACGTTGATCCATTGACAACACTTGTCAGTTGTGATGAAAATAATTCAGCGACAGCTCCAGACAATGCAAAGTTATTTTTTATGGTTGAGTTGTAGAACTCAAACATTCCATCTGCACTCACTTTAACAACACCTGCTGTTATTGCAAAGTTATTAGTGAGACTACAATTGTTGCACTTAACATTACTATCAGACTCTACATCGAAGACTCCTCCTTCAATGGAAGTATTATTCCAGAATGAGCAGTTTCTAAATATTGCTGTTGTCCTTTTATTTGCCTGCAAATAGTACTGCTCCTTTATCATAATTTCCAATGAAAGAAAACTCTGAGTGCACTATTTCTACTTCAGATTCTTTGTAGAGGTTGAAAAGTGATATCGAGCGCCCGTCAACATTATTGGCTTTCATGTTGGTTATTGACACATGCGTTTTATTGTAGACTTCATTTGACTCATAAGCTTCAACTGTAATTCCAGCGAAAGCAATGTCGAACACATTCAAATTGGTGATGATGACTGGAGTCTGAAGCTGCTGTTGAAGATACATCAATTTGCTCATTTTTCCATAAGTAAGATTTCTGAAAGTGATGTCTTCAAAAATGATTGAATAAGACCCTATTGTGGACATCTTGAAGACCTTGATTAATTCAAATGCGAATGCTGATTCTGAATTTTTGTAAGTCACATTAGAAACATGTAGAGACTGAGTTGAATTAGTCAGAGAATCAGGTTTAGAAATCAACAGTATTGGAACTGTTGATTCCTCAACAACAATATTTTGCAAAATCTGAGTGTTGTTTGGAGCCAAGCCCTCTCGGCTGTAATCATTGCTAATGAGATAAGAGGGAAAACCTTCCTTAAGAGAATGTGTGCGGAATCAATGGATATTTTTGATGGTAACTTGTTTGAAAATCGTATACTCAATCAAAGAAATATCTCCATCCAGATCAATGTTGTTGAATCTCAGAGTGTCAACATCCAGCACACTTTCAGATGAGCCAGACAAAGAGAATAGGGCTCTCTTACTCTGGAACATTGAATCTTGGATTGAAATATTATTGAGTGCAATATTTGAAGTTTTGTATTGAAATAGATCTATTAAAGGGTCTGTCAATATACTTCCATCAGTGAAATTTTTAATTACAAGATTTTTTATTGAAGTCTTATTTCCTGAAATAATAGAAACCATGAAGCTAGTCAAAGGTGTAGAAGTATGATTCTCAATTAGCAGGCCATCTATTTCTACTCTTGGTCCTACAACTTTGAAGACATTTCCTTCACAATTAATAAATTTGATATCTTTGAGTGTGTAAGTCGTGAGAGTGTTGAAATTAGAAACAATATGGCCCCTAGCAATATTGTAATCATTTGAGAATGTGGCATTCGTCATATGGATAGCCAGCATACTTTTCGAAATTGAGGTTCTGACAAAAACAAGTTTAATTGTCCTATCAAAACTTGAATTTTTGCCTTCTTCATTCCTTGATGTGGTCATATGGATATTAGTGAAATTCCACTTATTGTCATCATCAATTTTTCAATTTGTTTCCTCTGTGTAAAATATGTATTGGCTGAGGGTATTGATATGACCAACATAGGTATCAAAGAAGCAGTCTTCAAAGTGTACATTGTTTGATACATAGTTCCTCATGAAGAGTTCCTTTGGTCTTAGATAAGTAGGTCTTCCTCCGCTGTTAATTGATGTGAAGTTCTTGAAATACAATTGAGTCCCCATGTCTGTATGATCATCTCCACATCTGAGTTTGGTCAGGCTGAATGCGTATAAATACTGAGTCTCTTGGATTATGTTTTCCATGTGCCAGTTAAAGGCGGTGGTTATTGCTCTCATGACTGAGCCTTGCATTCTCATGTCACAATTGATCATGCCGACCGTTCTTGTGTCTACTCTGTACGGTTCGAAGACCGCATGAGCAGTTGCTGGGTCATCGTAGTCAGTGACAATTCTGAAATTCTTGATCAAGAATCCTGAATGGAAAGGCTTAAATACAGCATTTACCAATCGGAGCCCTACTTTGTCGTCAGAGTCAAATTCAGGATTGTCAAATATTATTTGATTGACAAGCTGATTTTTATGTACTAAAAATAATGAGAGAATCTTACCTAAAATGCTGAACTTGGTTGGTGTTGCTGGATTGACTATTTTGGAACTGTTGTAAATTCCAACCATTCTTGCAAGTCCAATCTCAGTATCAGCATCATTGTAGGCTTGGATTTGCACATGTGTCATATTGACAATATAAGTTGCACTATTAGCATAAACTGTAGTTGCTTCCATTACATTCACTGTCACATTTCTGGGGTTGTGGCTGTGAAAGTTCAAAATCTCAACCATAGCTGACTCAATATCTTTATAAGGATGCTGCTGAGTCCCGAGCTCAACTGGGCTTTCACTGTTTGCATTCACGAAATACTCAAAGTCTCTTCAAACTGGAATGGTTTGAAGTTGTGGATCTTGAATTAGTATTTGTGAGTCAATATCTCACTCTTCAACTCAAGTCATGGTCTTTAAATCTAAAATTTGATCAGGAAGACACTCAAAGCAATGACTTTGATAAGCACAGAGAGTGTTACAGCTATCTCCACAATCATTTCAACTTTTCACTGGAATTGAATAATACTGGCCGTCAGAGCACTCCTCATAATCACAAAGTTTTGAAGTGGCTAAATATTATTACTGGTGAATAATTTTTGAAATAGAAGGGTCAAATGATCAATTAGCTTATCAACCTACCATTATATATGAATCCATCTTTACATGAAGTGCATTCCCCATAGATGTTACACTCCTTGCATGACCCATGGCAGCTGAAGCAATGACCATACTCATAGAAGGATCCTGTAGGGCAGTTACTACTACCCTGAGTCGGCTCAAAGAAGAATCATCACCAAAATAGCATGCTCAACCCACTGGAAGTGGCTAAAACTTTCCTCGAAGTGAGGCCTATATGTCAAGTAAATATCTCATCAAGGACTCTCAAAAAGATTGGGCATTAGTTCGCCTAGTATTGGTACTCTATCAAGTTCTTTCAGTTAAAAGACGAAATACTTAATTTTATCAATAATGTACCACTGATTTTATGTAAAATTTATTTCAGAGGTATAGGGCAAGAACCCCTAAGGATAAGCGAGGAGATCAAAGACACCTCTGATTATTTTTTTATGAGTTCTGGCAAGAAAGAATTTAAAAATAACTCTTATTACGTAACCTACTCTAGGATAGAGGGCTTCAAACAGGCATAAAATTTTTGCACACTTCTCGAATTAGTGTATAAAAGAAAATGAAATATAAAGAATACTTACTTAGAGTCTCTTGGCCCAACTAATGAATCTCTTCCCTGAATAGCTCTTCGAGAGTTTGTCCTATACCTAAGTCAGAACTTTGTCCATATAAAACTCTGGTCAGTCTTAAGAAGGCTTCTGGCAAAGTCTCGAATTTTATCAAGATAAAAATTGCAAACAAAATATTGGTCAACTAAAATGACTTTATGATTGTGAATAAAGTTTTGATCATAAAGCTGTTCTTAGCACCAAATTGGCTACATTTATGTCTCTTTTGCTTTAGTGAACAGCAAGGAAATATTTCAAAAGAGCCCATTATTATAATATACCACCCTATAATAAATTCACTGCAATCTTTAGCTAAAATAAGCGCACAAAGTGGTGAATATTATGGTTTATTCGATTCTACATAAAATTATAGAATTAACTTAAGTCATAATAAAAAGTTAACATTTTTTAAGATACCATCTAGAAATTTTAATCAAATTTTTAACCCATATCCAGATGATCCCTTAAAAGGAGAAGAATGTATGAGGATCATTTATATAGAAAATTATAACTCAGATTTAGTTTTTCGAATCTACAGTTTATGATATGGGCATCTTAATTCAGAAATAACATCGAAACTCTAATTCTCGAATGAAGTCTTTCCTAGCTCAAGAGATGAGCTGGCTTATAGTCTTTATTGAAAGCTATCACTATTCAGGCTAAAAATAGAAAGAAATTAATCAAAAATTCGTAAGGTAAAATTTTTGAAAAAGGGTGACTGAAGTTCTTTAAAATATTATGTAAAGTAAGAATGGAGGCAACTTAGTCAACATTTTTAAGGAGATAATTTTATCGAAGTTCTTAATAAGAAATGGAAATAAATTGAACGATTTCAAGATTTATTCGGCCAACTAAGACTCTGACTATCGCATGATAAATTCATCAATAATTTTTCCATTAATGGTGAAATATGAATTATTTATGGATTCTAGAAAATTGAGCCTCTAACAAATGGAAAAGATCTTTAAGGAAGAATAAAATCAAAAGAAAAGAAACGAGTCGTTAGAAATAAGAGATATTAGTTAACTAAAAATTTTAGAACTCTTTGGATCTTTATCAAAATAAGTCGGAGGTTTAAAAAATTTGATTTAATTCGTTCCCCTTCTTGTAGGGATGGCTTTCAAAATTCTTCATTAGGTTGATCGATTGCTAAAGGACTAATAGATCAACAGTGTCTAAGAAAAGCTAGTGAACATTCTATTTAGCTGAAGTAGTCCGCCTTTTAATATAACCTTAAAAAAAATTGAAAGAGCAAACTCAGCCTTTTCGAAAACATAACTCTCTTATTTTCAGAATTATTAAAAAGCAAGCTATTTTCTATGAAAATTCTTTCTATCTAACCACTCATTGAGACGTACAAGTTCGTAATCCCAGCTACATTATTTCTGTATACCATATCTTGGCTGTGTGGCATTATCTCTAGCACATAGACCCATTTTGTAGTGATTTACCTTCATTTTTTCACCACGCATGTTGATTTAATTATATAAGTTGGTCTATGGTCAATCTTAAATATCTCACATGGGGTTTTGGGGTTTTGGGGTTTTGGGG